GACATCATTAAGGCCTCCAAATGTCCAACGAACGTTGCACGATCGAAGGGTTCAATATCGGCCGTCCATTCAAACCATTCCCTATTCGCCCGTGATCTCACACCTATTTACAAGCCATGCCACTCCAGAAAAACTATAAATAGAGCCATCATTCTTCACAAAGGGGATTCAAGTGAAGAGAGAGAAGAAGAAGGAAAAGGCGAATCCTCTCCTCCTCGACCACCGCCGGAGCTCTTCCCACTGCCTGAATACGCCGGAACTCTACCGGATTTTCGGGAAACGACGGGATTCTGCCAAACTTTGTAAATTTGCTTGAAGTTGTAATCTGATCGTTCCGATTTGTGGGACGAATCAGTTTCTTGTATATTACAAAAATGCTAGTGGAATTTTACAACTGGGCGAGGCCCCGTGGTTTTTTCCCTTTTTGGATTTTCCACGTATAAATCCCAGTGTTCTTTCATTTTCCTATTTATGTGTTAAATATACGTGCAACGCTCAGACGTGAATTTACAAACTCTACCGCCGCGTATTTTCTAGCACGCAACAATAGGTAAGAGGCATCTTATAAAATTTTTGAAGCTTATATATCTCTTTGTTCCTTTTGATCTTCTAGATTTCATATCGTTTATAGTAAACATAGAATTCTTACTCTCCACATTCACTCAAACCATGCTCAACTCTTCAGCTCTCATCTTAAGATTACCTATAAGATTGGATATCATCTACATATAAATTCGGATCCAACACCGAGTTTGTAAGCTTGCAGTTGTAGACTTGTTGATTTGTCTAAATATACCAAATTATTTTTTGGAAATTTCATCATCAATGTCTTATTTTCCCCTCCGTTTGAATTTATTATTCAGGATATAAGCCTTTTGTCGAAGCATGCATTGATGCTGATGAAAAAACTGAAGCTTTAAAATATATCCCAAAACTAACTGACCCTCGAGAAAAATCAGAGGTATGATCTCTATTTTCCTGCTCGCTTTTATTTGCTTGAAAGATTACTGATAGCATCAATTATTGGGCATTATAGGTTTCGTTTGGGACGGCTTTCTTACTGCTTCATTAAAAATTTTTATTAAAAAACTGTTTTAAGAAACAGTAAGAAAGTCATCCCAAATGAAACCTTAATCTGATTTTAATGTTTTTTTTTTTTTTGTGTGTGCATATAGAAGCAATCATTCTATGCCTTTGAAGTTTAAACTGTATTTTTTCTATTATAATCAGGCATATGCACGGATTGGCATGGCGAAGGAAGCTGCAGATGCGGCATCGCAGGCGAAGGATAGCGAACTCTTTAGTCGTTTGAAGCTAACTTTAGCTCAAAATGCAGCTGCGGCATCAATTTTCGAAGGTTGGAGAGAACGCTTATCCTTCCAAGGGGTCTACTAATGCATTTTCTTTGCTGTGCCGTTTGAACTGCTCCCATTTATGCTAAATTTAGAATCATCTCAATTACTTTTGTAACATCGGGTTGGTATCACCAAAGTCAGTTGAGAGTTTTCTGTAATATATATTTTATCTAGAAATTTGCTCATCCTAATACTTTAATAGTGCACCACAGAAATGCTTTGGAAGGCCTTTATTTGTAATCATTTATTAGTATCATTATCTTTTATCATATTTGTTGAATTTAAATTTATCTGTTGGTGACACTCAATCATATTAGGAGGCATGTTATGGATGGTAAGACTTAGGAATTTGTGAGAATGAAGAGAGAAAAAAAAAAGAGAAATATTAAAAAAAAAATTATTAATTTGAATATTTATAAAAAATGTCAAGATTTAAAATATAATTTTTCACCTTTTATTTATATGGATTTGAGGGATATAAAAAATAATATATCAAAATAAATAAAAATGTAATAATTAATGACCTTTAGTAAAAATTGTACTAAATATGCTTTTGGCTAGCATGATGGATGATTGCATCCTTTCTCATTCCTTCTTGGTGTGATTTCTATTATGTTAAGCATGAATAGGTGAATGGGAGTAGGCTAGTTTGTTCATGAGGGTTGTGGTTGGTAAGCATTTTGAAGTCATTGACTAGCTTTTTGATGATCACTTGGGTTAGTGTGATGAGGGAGGCGAGTATATATAAGTGATGTGGGTATGATGCTCCATGCATGGTTTATTAATTATGAAAGGATGAGCTAGAACCTTATTGAGACGACATTTTCGTGTCACTTGAATGATGAGCATGATTGATGATGTTTCATAGACCTGTCAATTTCGGGTTACGGGTCGGGTTGACCCGAACCCGAAATTGACCCGGTATTATTCGGGTTCGGGTTGACCCGACCTGGTTTTGCAAACGGGTCAATTTTCTGGACCCGAACCCGACCCGCTTCGGGTTTTGGTCAACCCGACACGACCCGCGTAGCCGCGGGGCGGAACGCCGAACTGGCCTCGCCGCCTCGGGATGGAACGCGTAACAGCTGGCCTGGCCTCGCCGCTTCGGGAGTCTCGCCGTCTCGGGACACTGCACGCGGCGCGCCTTCGCGTACTCTGGACAGAGGAGCTGGCGGGCAGCGGGC